GGCGAGCAATAGTTGGGTGCAAATTATCATCATTATTATTATAGTTATTATCTTTAATATTGTATTTTTTTTTTTAATTTTAATATTATTAAGTTAATTTGCAGTTTATGTATTACTTAAATTCGAATTTATTTAATAGGCCAAAACGGTTTGAACCTGGAATTTCAGCATTATAAAAACTTTTAATTGAACATTAAACCCGCTCAAAATTTCTAATATTAATAAGCGCTGCAAATTTAATTTTAATTTCAAAATTTTAGGCCTGTGACCCGTGAATAGAGCCTGTTTTGTGTGTCCAAATTTTATTTTTAATATACAGTATTTTCTCAAGGGTGTTTAAACTTTCATAAACCCGAAAAAGCAGTTCCAAGTTGCTCTCGTGGTAGTTGTTGGTTTTGCCTGTTATTCTGTTGGCGATGCGTGGACACGTTGCGTATGCGCAATTCGGCAGACGGGCTTTCAGTGCGGCGTCTCTCTAATTTCACAGTTTCAATCATATTTGCAGTGAGCGCTCAAGAGTATGCAACACTTTTTGATTTGCCAGCTACGCTTGTGTGCCGAGTGAAGGAGGGGTGCGAGGGAGGACGCCAAAAATTTTAATAATTTCATTTGAGGATTTTCGCATGTTATAAAACACTCAGCACTCGATGACGTTGACGACATGACGCATTGGGAGTTTATTTTTCTTGAAATGCTAGAGAATGTTTTTTTTTCTTTTTCTATTCCGTAGATTTGTTTTTTTGGCCGTTTGTTTTTCTGATTGCTTTTTTTTTTTGGCTTCGCTGGCCCATAAATCAATCAAATGCAGGCACAACACGCAATGCACACAAAGATCAACAGCAGAAGCGGCAGCAGCAGCAGCGAGTGAGGGTGGGCCAGGGGGGCAACAGGGCCCGAATAGGGTACGTGAGCTGGGGCTGAGGCTACCCGTTTCACATGCTCGGCATCACATTGGCAAGAATCCATGCAAACATTTTCAATTAAAAATTGCTCTGCCATTTGTCAGCACGCTTTGGCACAGCTGTGTGTGTGGGTGGGTGGCGCTGTGGATGTGGGTGTGTGTGTGAGTGGGACAGCGTATTTCGTGCCTTTCGTTCTGTATCTGTGTCTAATATTGCCAATTGCTTATCCATCACAATCACAGTCAAGCATTAGACATCAGACAACGTCGTCTTTGCTAGTCGAATGCATTCATATCTATCTTCTAGCGGCACAGTGCTTGCCAAACGGCGTGCGGCTGCAAAACTGTGCTTGAATGTGAGCTTGCCAAAGTTTCTGTGTAGACTTTAAGCTTTTCTGTTTACTTGTGCCAGCTATTTTAACGTATATAACCCAATTAAATTGTTTACTCACGACTCCCACTGCAAAAATCAATTTGTGCTACAGCTTGCAGAGCCTCTCAAACTGTGCCAGGCCCTATAACATGTGCCTGGGTACTAGTCCGGGCCAATGCGATGTTCAAAATGCGGAACTGCGCTCTAAATTCAATTGTTGTTAAACGTCTTGGCCAGGTTGTGGTCCCCGGGCTGTCCAGTGCCCAAAAGGCAGGGGCACTCATTGTGGCCGGCATAAAACACATTTTGCTGCCAGCTAAATGCACCTTGGAGGCACTTTTGACTTTGGCTCATGGCCCAAGCACACATTATGGCCAATGCCCTGTCTGTGAATGTATGTATGTGTGTGAGGACTACATTCTATGCCTTTATTTGCTGCTGCTGCTGTGGCCTATGCTGCTAATGGATTTTAAATGAGCATCATAAATACTAAACCCGAAATTGCTCCAACGCCCACACACACACACACACACACACATACACACACAAACACATACACTCACAGATAAAAGTCGCTCTCACTCTCTCTCTCGCTTAGTTTAGGAAGACGCTTTGCTTTCAGTCCTAACTTGGCCTTCAGCTTGAATGAGAATTCGCTGTCTGTTTGGTTTTTCTCATATTCTCCACTTGCTTATTGTCATTTATTCTTGTTTTGTGCTTTTGTCCGTTTGTGTCTGCAGCATGTATGGAAAGAGTTAGGCTCCGAGCATTTAGCCGGCTTTCTGTAATACCTTTTTATGCCGCTTAAGTGTGCCTTCAAATTTGTCATTAAGTTTGTAACGTCTCAACGGATTATTTTCACAGTTTCTTTCATTTGCATAATTTTGCGACTTACGTCTTAAGCTGCTGCTTTTCTAATTTTAGCTAATTTATTGTTACTTTTATTTTACTGAGATTTAAGTCTTTGGGTGTGTAGTTTAATACACTTTAAGTGTAATTACCTATCTTGGCTAACTTGTATCTAGCCTGCTTCTATGCGAACTAGTCCATCAGTCTTAAGGCTATCGTCTGGAAACTTTGCATATGCTCACTGTGCTCCGTACATATATGCAAAATTCTAACAACATCGGTCCACTATATCATATAGCTGTAATAGTAAAGCTCGATCGAACAGTAGGTACTGCAAAATGTGGCAATTTCTACAAGGGTATTAAATCTTCGGCCTGCCGAAACATTCTACCTTCCTACTTAAGTCCAGGCCAAACTTTTATTTGGATACACTATTTAAAGTTTGCTTTTATTTGTATTATTTTTATATGTTGTTTAAATTGTAATAATCTCCCACACAGCCTGACAGCGAATTATATTGTATTTTTATACCCTGAACCCATTAAAAATGGGTACAAGGGTATATTGTATTTGTGCGAAAGCCAAATATATGTAACAGGCAGAAGGAAGCATCTCCGACCCCATAAAGTATATATATTCTTGATCAGCATCAATAGCCGAGTCGATCTAGCCATGTCCGTCTGTCTGTCCGTCCGTCCGTCCGTATGTATGAACGCAAGGATCTCAAAACCTATAAGAGCTAGAGACTTTAAATTTAGATGTAGATGCTCCTAGTTCCCGCGCAGATCGAGTTTGTTTCCGATAATCGATAACTTACTGCCTTTCCAAGTAATCGATAAAAATCTATATCGATATCCTGTTTTTTGGGCAATTTTGGTAAATAATAAGAGCTAGAGTCACCAAACTTGACTTGACTTGTACTATTTTATTTTATAAAAAAATAATATTAAGCTGGTTTTACTTAGTTTAGTCTAACTGGCATTTTGTTTGTGCTAGTTCGCCTTCTTCTTGGGTAGTTGTTTTGGCTTTTGGTTACGCTGCTGTGCCAAATGGCAAGGACTATAAATATTTGTTACGCTGACGTTACGAGTGGGCTGCATGTGACACACACAAACACACACACACACACACACACACACATGCTGCTGTTGTTGTTGTTGTTGTGTGTGTCTACTCTTGCGTCTACAAATCCGGCGTGTAGCATAAAAATGACTGCAATTTATGTTTTCCTATGAATATATTTGCGCGCCCCATCGCACCGTACACACACACACACACACACACACACACACACGCACACATAGATACTCCACACTCCAGTTTCCTAACAACAACAGCAAAACGCTGAATATCCTAACTGTTACTCTATGAGATTGCATAAATTGTATGCAGATTTCAATTGCTGTCATTTTTAGTGATTTTTATTAAATGCAACCAAAGTGACAAGATTATTGCGCATACGCAGCGTGGGCCGTTGCATGAAATTTAATAATGTTAAAATGATAAAGCGGTTAAAACGGTTGCCATGTGCACACACACACACACACACTCGAACACAACCTCTCACTGCCTGCCCGTTACCCAAAAGACTTGTCAGCTAATATAACAGCTTGAGACTTGAGTCGCCTTCGTTGCCGCAGGAGCAGCTTTTGTTGTGCTGTGGAAACCAATAACTAACAATCAACTGCTGTGTGTGTGTGCGTGTGTGTGTCAGTGTGTGCGAGTGTGTGAGCCAGACACTTTATGGGTCTGTCATGTGCGCGGCTTTTGGGTCACGTTGATCATGCGACAACTGGACGGGCAACATTTGTTCAACAAACTGCAGCATTTAATTACAAAAAGTGACAAAGAGCACAAGGAAAAAGAAAGAAACCAAAAGAGAAACACAGAAAGTGTGGGAGAAGGAGAAAGAGAAAGTGTAATGCCACGAACCTTTGTAGAGCCAAATATGTTGCAGCTAGCAAAATATTGCATAGAAAAGGAATTGAATTAAATGAAAATATAACAATATTGAACTAAGCTTAATTAATCAAATATTACTTACTCTACATTTTTAGATTTTATTTTAATTAACTAATATTTTCCGTAATTTAATAAATCATTAACATTTTAAAAATTATGAATGTATAAAGCAAAATATATTTTTCATAAAACCATTTTTAAAATGTTAATCTAACCGAAAGCAATCGAATAATAGGCTTTCGGTTTGAGTAAATCGATAAATATCGATAGCTGTACTTTACAGCATATCTATGATTAATACTTATCAAAAAACAAAAGGAAATCAAATAAAATTTTAAAGAGAAAATTGTATTTTAACATAAACTGTAATTTAAAGCATTTAGTAACTATCGATAACGATAAATACAATCGATAGGTAAATCTAGAAATGGCCTAATGGTAGTAGAGTCAATGAACTTTTCTTTTACTTTTTGTGAACTTTTTCATTTCTTAGGGTATAAAGATATTTATATTTATATATACAGCTTATGGGAAAGGTTCACAAATTCATTAAATATCCCAAAAAGGTAAGCAAGGGCATACAAGTTTTTATGCCCATGTCTAATATCGTATCAGACAAATAAGAATCCACAAAAGTTACTCCCAGCTATATCGAACTATTTGTAAAACCAACTGGTTTATATATCATCTGGCTACGTAAATATGGCTCACTTCATAACAATCCCACAACAAAATTGTAAGAACCACTAAAAAGCAGAAAAAGAGAAAACTCTAAAAATCGCTGGACAGGTCATAAATTTTGGGGCTATGGCAGGCCGTTCTTTCGTGTTCTTTTTTGTTTTGTTTTTTTTTTGCTTGGCTCCATTTCGTACCATTTGAGTTCTTGAGCACCCCGCCTGGTTCCCCCATACTCACAGTTGACATTCAGTGCGACGCTCGTCTCCAGCGTATGTCCCTCGGGCATGGCACGATTCCAAACGACGCATATGTACTTGGCACCATCGTCGGCCCGTCTGGGCAGTATCTGCAGTGTGGCATTTGTGTAGTGGTTCTTGGAGCCGCCCTTTAGCGCATACGACTGCAATGGCACTTTGCTGCCCTCGCGGAACCAGCTGCAATCATACGAAAAGAAAGATAGTCCAAGTGAGTGAGAGCGAGAGAGAGAGGCGCATGGAGATTCGTAGAAGGACAGCGATTTAGTGCCGAATAAAAAGAACTGCATGTGCCGGCTGGGATTATTAATGAAGGCGACCAGTTAAGTGATTTACTTGCCGCCGGATGTGCTTAAAACTGTAGCTGACCACAGCGGCGACGACAGCTGTGAACCCAAAAATGTATAAAAAATATTCACAAAAGTATAAAAAAAATGTAACTATGCAAAGCCGAAGTTAAAATTCTCTCCCAGACACATCAAGCTTACTAAGAATATGTTACTTTGATTTTTTTAATTTAATTTAAATTAAAAATGTAATCGAAATAATGTCAATGTTAATGTAACTGTTCCTGAGACTGTTACTGCTAATGTTCCTGTTACAAATACTGTGACTATCCCTGCTACTGACGTAGAAATCATCTTCGGTCACTGTTCCTTTTACTGTGACTCTTAATAATATTGAAACTGTTACGTTAACATTCACTGTTACTGTTGCTGTTAATAATGCCGTTAATGTTACTGTTACTGTTGTTGTTGCTCTTGCTGTTACTGTTATATTGATTTTCATCACAAATTCAGATATACATATATATCCGAAACCTCTGCTGGTTTTTCCCTAAAAGGGATTAATGCTCTCGCAAAACTGTAACATGGAATTTAAATTTATTATGCTCCCTTACGTTATCGTGGGATCCGGTGAGCCGCCGATGCTGCTGCAGGTCAACTCGAGTGGTTTCTCCTCAGTGGCGACCGCAATATTTCCAGGCGTCACCATGGGCGGATGTGGTGCTGTTAGCACGGTCACATTGTAAAACTCCTGATGCACATCGGCGCCGGTGCCTTTGGCCTTGATGCGGCACTCAAACCGTCCATTGTCCCGATTGTAGGAGGTGTTCTTAATTTGCAGATCGTAAAGGCCGCGACCGGGCCGAAAGTCAAGTCTGCAAAGGGGAAAGCGAAGAGAAAATGAAATTGTTAGATTTATTTTTTTTTTTTTTCGGTGGTTGGGTGGGTTTATAAGGCGTGAAGCTAGAACGAAAAAAAATGTTTTCAACTTTATGTAAATTAACTGCGGACATACTTTGTTAATTTACATAGCTTTTTGGTAAGTAAGCACAGCATGTGTATTGTATTTGCGTGGGTTTAAAGAGAATTCAAGCGGGAGTTATTTCTTATAGAAATATCTAGTCTTTCGGGTTTTGCTTTTGTAAAGCTTTTCAGCATGTGAATGTTTTTTTTTCAATGATAATAATTTAAACTATTAATATACATTGTATTAACTAAAATAAATATAGTTTTAAAAATATTCAACTGAGCCTGACATATAAATAAATATAAATATTATTTCATATTTATAAATAAAACAATTTTTAGTGTTAGGCAACCCTTTGACGTCCATTAAGTTGAAGATTTCTGTTAGTTACAAATTTGGTGGCCCTTCTGAACTAACTAACTAATCGCTGAGAGCTTCTCCAAGAGTCACAGAATTCTCCTCATTAAAGTGCTTGCCTTGCCACGTTTTCGAGTATCCTGTTCTGCTGTCCCTTGTCCAGCTGTTTTCTGTTTTTTTTTTTTATTTGTACTTTTCAGTTTGTTGTTTGTTATTTTTTTGTGCCTTGGCTTTTGTGTGAAGCATTTGGTTTCCGTGTGGAGGAGGTTAGCGAGCGGCCGCGTAACGTAATGAAAAATGCTCATGGCAAATTAAGCGTCGAACTCATTTTTGTAAATTTATTAGCTTAATTTTGAGCGGGAGGGAAAGGGGAGGTACAGCTTCTCGGTTGCCACGGCGCAGGCAGCCACATTACATTTTGATTAATTTAACATATTTTCTTTTTTTTTCCACTTATTTTTCTCTGGCCATGGTATTTGCTACCTGGCTATGGAAAGCGCGAGCAAATGGGATGTACACTTAGAGAAAAGGACGAGTCTGTGATACTCAAATAAAAGGCTCGTATAAAAATCCCTGTGAAAGCCTTAGTCCGAAACAGAAATTCTTATATTGAGAGCTTTGCCTAAAATTATTTTATTTTATATATATTAAAATATAATATTTTATATATATATATTTTAAAATATAATAATAATATAATATAATATAATAATATAATAATAATTAATACTAATACAAATTAATTTAAATTATATATATGTATTTATATATAATTTAAATTAATTTGTATTAGTATTAATATTATTTAAATAAAATATAAATAAATTTACCACAGCTAAACACATTTAAAATGCACATGTCATGCAAATTAATACTCATTCAGGCTACTAAACTTTAGCGCTTAGTTTTTCTCGCAGTGTACTCTAAAGGTAAAACTCAATCAAGCGTAATAGCTTGAAACTGTTGAATACTTTGTGGCTCTGTCGCGTTCTTCAAAGAAATGCTTTTAATGCCTAGTCCTGTTTCTGTAGTTTCTATGCATATGCCCACACTTCTGCCCCTACCAGTCTCCCGCGCGCGCCCCCTCGACTTCATCAACGTCATCGTCATTTATTTAGCCCAGTCGCCGCAACGCTTTGTGTTTAAGTTTTAATTTCTCTTGATGAGATTTTTTCTCTGTTACAACCACAAACCTTGTAGACATATAAGTGAATGTGCGCGTGTCTGTGTGTGTGTGTGTGGGCGTGTGTGTGCAACGGCGGTCGGGCGGCTGGTTATATAAATCATGCACTCGACATTATTAAAGTAGATCTTATAAACTTCTTGAGTGCATATGCATGCAGACGAGGGCAAAGCGAGAAACTTTTTAAATAAAATTTCAATTTTGATAACTTTTATGGCAACTCGACTTGCAGCACTGTTCAAGAGAATGAGGGGAGTGAGGGTTGGTGGTGGGGGGGGGGGGGGGGGGGGGGGGGGGGGGTAAACCACACACATGTGCAGTTGTAAAGGCAAATGCGGCGCACTTCCGTTCTGCCAGCTCAAATAGCAATTCGGGTGTTCTCTATTTTCTTCAGTTCTTCAGCTGCTGGGCCCAAGGAAATGGCTGCATTTTTACCGTTGCCACAGATTTTCCTTCATTTCGTATACCCTAGATCCAAGCAATGCGCATTAAGGAGTATAATGTGGCTGGTAAATATGTGGCTCGCAGGCAGAAGCAGATTGTGTACTTTAATACGTAAAATATATATATATATATATATATATATATATATATATATATATATATATATATATATATATATATTATATATATATAATATATAAAATATATTTAAATTTGTTATATATATATTAAATATGTAAAATAAATTAAATGCATTAGACATATTAAGTACATAAATAATAACAAATTTATTTAATATATAAAATAAAATAAATTGAATAATTATAAAATATCTATTAAATATTTAATTTTTAGTATATACAAAGTTTTATATTAAATATATAAAAGTAAATCATATATTTTAAGCATTTATTTTAAATATATATATACTATCGAGTAACACATACAATAAAAATGTATTCTTGATGTTTTATCCAAAATCGATAAGTATCGATATTCAATTTGTTAAGATATGTCTACATTTGGCATAAAGCTGCTTATAAGTTTAAACTATACCCAATTTATTTTACTTTTATGATTTTTCCAATTGTCATAGCCGTAATTTATTGTAGACACACACAATTGACATACGTGAAAAAATGCAAAAAAGGCACAGCACTTATTTAAGAATAAATGTTTAATAGAGAGAAACTGAGCGGGGCTGAGGGGGTGGCAAGCAGAGCAGTCGCTGGATGCCGAGAATCAAATACGATGCAGGGTAACTGCCAGTCGGGCATTCCCAGCAGAGCATTGCTACATGCTTTTTCTTGCCGCTGCATTTCCGGCTGTGACTTTTACGAGGCTGCATCTTGAGATTTGTATCGCGGCGATGTGTGCGTGCCTGTGTGTGCGTGTGTGTGTGTGTGTGTGTATGCCAAGTGCTGCAGCTCAAGCGAAGCACATAATTGCCTCTGCCTCAGCCTCAGTCACCGCCTGCTACTGCTGCTGCTACTGCAGCTGCTGCTGTATATCCTTCGCAGGACCAAAAAGGAATTTCTAATGTGAAAATAAGTGCTGCCTCCGTTATTATGTTGCATCGTCGCAGAACTTATGCAAAACAGTCGCAGAATTGTTATGCAAATTGCAGCCAATTACATGGCAAATGCCTGCCATGCTCACACGCCTCTCCCAGCACACCACCCCTTCCACGTTGCCTTCACCCTCATCCTCTACCCCGCCTGCCAAGCATATCTCTCAATGAGCACTCGTACAACATAAGTGAAGTTGCCTTGGCAAATACATTGAACAGCTACACTGAAGCGAACAATTTCGGGGTTATGCTTGAATTTGAGGGTCCGAAAAAGTATACTTCAGACATTTTGTTGTCAAGTGAAATTGCCTGACAATAATACATAACAGAACAGTATAGAAATTTATATTTAAAATGAATAGAAAAAAAATTGAATATATAAAGAATTTTTTTTGTAAAAACTAGCTCCGAAAGAAATTCATTTATAGTCGCACCAAACCATAAAAATTTTGTAATTTTAAACTAAAATATTTCAAAATTTTTTTTCAAGTTAGTTACTTAGTTATATTATATTTCAGTTTTCATATTCATATTTTTCGAAATAAAATTGCATAATTTGTGACATTATCAGACATTTACAAAGCTAGGATTGAACCAAATAGACCCAAATATTAGTTTGGGCTTGGATAAAATAGTCAGATAACTTCTAGATGCCCCACGAGCTATCTATAAGTCGATAGTCGATATACAGTAAAGTCTTCTTGTAGTTAAACTAACACAGACTTAACTTGGCAAGCAGCATACAATAACTATTTAAAAGTTGCGGTGCCTCATAAGCTATCGATAATTAATTATTATGTTAAGTTTTTAAAATTTTTGTCATAGTTAGAGTTAAGCCAATCAGACAGGCCTAGAGATGATCACATTTTTTTCGATGGCAATTTATCGCTAAATAAACTTGTTCACATTTTGCCGATAACCATTTATCGATAAGTTAATTTATTCATATGTTTGCCTGAGTGTAGCCAACGTCTAGAGTCAGGCACACGTTCATCTCTTATCGACAATGCTCCTCTTTTCTGTGCTCCATTCAGGCTGAGGCATGTCACGCAGCTTGTTAACTGTAACTAAAGCTCGCGTCTGCTCGTTAGTGGGGGCCAAAACTACTCGTATAGCTGCCAGATTATGTTATTATCGGGTTTTATTATCGAGTCTCGGCTCGGCGAGTCCAGCATGTCTGGCGTCTTGGAGAGCTGCCTTCGGGGCTGACTGGCTGAGCAGGTGTTGTTTTTCTTCCTACCTTCGCTGTATTCTATGGCACATTAAAATGGACGCAGAGTTGGGGGGCATGGCGCTGGCAAGAGGGGGCGTGTGTGCTGGCTGTTCGCATGCCAAGGCGCCGTCTCATAAAAAATAATAAACTTTCTGCTTCTTCTTTCTGTAGCTGCCATCACTTTGGACTCTGCTGAGCAACTCCGGCGGAGAAAGTTTAAAAGGCGCGCGCCAAAATTGACGCGTGGCAAGGATATGGCAAGGACTCTGCCAGCCAGGCACCGCCCCCCCCCCTTTCCGAGCGGGCGCCATGTCAACGATGTGCGTTATGTGCGGATAATTGACTTTTAAAATGTGTGTGCGATATCACAACAACAACAACAACAATAACAACAACAACAAGAGCAGCGCGAAGCTGCCAAAAGGGTCGCTGCGTATAATTAAACGGCATATTGTCACGCATCCTTGCAGCGGGACCCGAGCGACGGTTCAGGGGCAGACCCTCTGCGCCTCAAGGACAAATGGGTAGCAAGGACTTTTTTTTTGGGCTCTGTTACAAAATGAATGCCGCTGTTGTTGTTGTTGCCATTAAATGTGGCACGTTGTTGTTGTTGTTGCTTTTGACAAATGGTGCATGCAATGA